TTGACACAAATGACTAGTTTTATTAGATGCAAAAACAAGGTTACAATTTTTCAAAGCTTTGGTCAATATTCCTTGAGAAGGATGACCAAGCTTTTTATGCCACATTTCAACAAATTCACTACTAATAGCATAAAAACAACACTTCCTATTAACATTGCTACTAGCAACTTTATTCTTTGAACATTATCAAAACCATGTGATAACTTATATAGACCAGCAGATTCAACAGTAAGAACTACTTCCCCAGTCTAAGATCCTTTGCTTGACAAAATTTAGGGGAAAACTTAAAGGATGGTTGATTGTTCTGTGTAAACTTTGACACAATGAGCAAATTTTTAGTAATGCCGAACACAAACAACAAATGAGACGATAATTACCATTTCCAACTTGAATATTGCTAGAGGTAAGAGAAACAGTTTAAAGTTGAAGATTTGAAAGTTCATTAGTAAGATGGTGTATGGCTCCAAAGTCAGGATACCAAGCATTGTCATTCACCACCTCAAGTGTAGCAATGTAAGATTCATCATTAACAGAAGTTGAAACATGAGCTTAAATAGCATACTATGGCACCAACTAAACCAGGCTATGGTGTTGAATCATTTGAGTAGGCATAGGTACAGTGGAACTTTACTAAGGAAACTGAGAAACCAAATGAGGAACAACCATAACAGAAGTAGACATATGTGAGTAATACTAGGCAACAAAAGGATTAATGGAAGGATTTGAACTAAACAGTTTGAAGTAGTAGGCTTTGAAGATATAATTAGTGAAAAGATTAGAGGTGTTCCTTGCAGACTCATTCTTAAAATTTTGATCAAACCAAAATTAATCTCTCAACCAATTGACATATTCTGCCATATACTAACATTGAGGCCTAGAAGATTTAACTCTGCCTCTACCTCTACCATTCTCTGTTAAAGTAAACAAACTCAACATAACCTCTATTTTGAGCACATAATGAAGTAACAGAACTAGGACTAGACTGATCTCTAGAAGCTAGATTAGTTGAAGCAATAATATGATTACAAAAACTTGTTTGTCTAGCCTCAGTATCAAGTAGAATAGTGCTCACAGTTGTTACACTATAATGAATTGACACTATTGTCAACATAGTAATAACATATTGAAATTTATAAGGCAAGTTGTTTACAATGACAGTTACATGCTCATGCTCAGATATGATTTCACCACAGTTAGCAAGATTATCGTAAATAGATTTAATTTTTAGAAGAAACTATATCATACTAAGGTCATCTTTCTTTTGAGAATGAAGTAATCTCCTAAAATACATTAGCCTAGAAGTGGTATTGCCACTATAAATTCTGTGTAAGGAATTCCAAATTTCAGACGCAGTGTTAAGCCCAATAAGATGAGGCATGACTCTTTCACTTAGAGTAGATAGAAGCCAAGAGGCTAAAGAACCATCATATTCCTTAAAAACCTCAAACTTAGATTGATACTTAACTATTTATTTGTATTAACATATTCAGAGGGATGACTCACATTATTATCAATGTATCTTTGTAGCCTTTGAGTCTTAATGGTTAATAAGACTTTCTAATTCCACAACAAATAATTATTGTCATCTAATATTATGTTGATTTTTTAGTAGAGAACAATCTTACATAATTATTAGCAGATGATTGACTAACTTTAGGAGAAACATTATTCGTTTTAGATATGACCATAAGAAAGAAGAATAGACGAGTAAACACAAAAACATATCAACAACAGACAAGCAAGCTAAAACTCACAGCGAAAACAAACAAAAACGAACACTCAACAAGTCACCAAATAGATACGTAGAAACCCTAATTTCACTAACAGAAGCAAATAAACCAAAAAGCCTACAAACATATCATAAAACTCACCATAAGAAGATTGAAGAACACAAATTGATCACTGATAATAGAACGATCACACCAAGAAGTACTGATGATATCTGTAGGGAAAATCAATCCATATTGAGAATGATTTAGAAACACAACTTCAATAATCACTCTTTCAATGCTAGCTTTGACGAACGCCACCAAAAATTAGCTCTGATACTATGTTACGATCATAGATTAGTGATGCAAGAAATAAATAGGTTAGGGTTTAGATATCATGAATGAGAAATGGAAAAGGGAAGAAACTGAATTAGTCAACAGTTGAGAAAATAATGATTTCATATCATTGGATTAAAACTATGAAGTCCCAGCAATACAACCAAGCATATTTAAAACAATGCAGACTAGGCACGACTCAAGGCCGTTACAACAAACTCAACTACCCTTAGTTACAACAAACTAGTTATAAATACATAGTACTCTATCATTTACAAGTTTGATTTTTCTTTAAAAATAACTTTCAATCTTGAAAAAATCTAAATAAAATTGAAGTAAGACATAATTTGTGAGTCGTGGGATTATCTTAATTGCAAGATTTATTTTATAGTATTTTATAACATACAGTCAACCACTGTTAAAAAATATCTATGTTGATGCCTATCATTTAAAGGGGTAAATCTTATATAATAATTTTTTTTATTAAGCTAAGGTGATTAAAAAGTAGTATTTTTTTCTAAATACTCTTAATCATTTGATAATGAACACTCAATCACCCTAGTACAGCCGCTGGTGCTCAAACCCGTAACCTTTAAAAACAACAACAATTCCTTAACCACTTAGATAAGTTGATTCTTGCAAATCTTAGATAATATTTTTAGATTTTGCAAAATTAAAATTAGTTAATTGTAATGCACTAACTGCAAGTGATGTAAAAAAACTCATCATAGATATAGATCAATTTATACTATAGAAATTAGGGAACTAATTGATCTAAAAAAATAGGGGAAATATAGATAGATTACACCCAATGTTACTTTGTTATATTTTCGAAGATATCCTCTGAATATTTTCTAACTTTCGTCACATCAAATCCATTGAAATCGCTAACGTTTCATCTATAATAGATCTTTATACCAATGTTATTAAAATCGGACCGGATCGACCGGTTCGACCGGTTGAACCGTGAACCGGTGGCCTGTTCGGTCCGATTAACTCCCAAAACCGGATTAGCACAGAACCGGTAAAGAACCGGAAGAACCGACTGAAACCGGGATGAACCGGCTGAAAACCGACAAAACCGGTTTGAACCGCCTGTTCACTTTTTTTCTTTAAAAAAAAATTAAACCAAACGACATCGTTTGTTCAACGAGCCGAGTCAAATTCGAGTATTGCTGAGCTCGACTCGAACTCGAAAACTTTAAAAGTAAGCTCAACTCAACTCATAAACTCACGAGCTAAAAATTATCAACTCGAAATATAATATTAAAACTTGAAATCGAAAAGGCTCGAACTAAAAAAAATTAGAAGTTCGATTGAAGTCTAAAATTTGAGCTCAATTGAAGCGAAAGAATAGTTCGCTTTGTGCTCACCAAAAGGCTCCATGATTTGAATGTCAAATTACCTCTATTATTTATAGAAGTAAGTTGGGATGCTCTTCTATGTTTCTTAGCCATGTGGGATTGTTTTGTTCTCATATTTTTACTCTTTAAACTTTTGGGATACTCTTCTATGTTTCTTAGCCATGTGGGATTGTTTTTTTTTAAACAATTAAACCAAATGACATCATTTGTTATGATTTTTTTAAGCCCCAATTTTATTTTTTTGATTATAGTTATATAATTATATTTATTATTTAATATGTTTTACCTTAAATATTATGTTGTAGTTGATTTGAATCATTTTGTTTCACTTGATTTTATGGTTTTTCATTTATACATGTTATGACTTGTGATATTTTTATACCTTTTAATATTGTAAACTTAAAAAAAAAGTGTTACATATATATTAATATTGCTTTGAATATTATGTAAAATTAAAAAATATATATTATTTTATATAAAATCTGGTTCAACCGCTGTTGAACCCGGTTGAACCTATGAACCAGTACCTTTACCGGTTCAATATCCGGTCTGGTTTTAAAAACATTACTTTATACAAATCTTTTCACTCATCAGAACCTCTAAAAGCTCATCTCCTCTCTAAATGCAGACCTCCCTAAAGTTAACTACAATGCATAAATGACATCTAGATAAAACTTCTAACGAGTATGTGACTTATCGTGACAAAATTCAAGGTTTGACCCATCAAATGTCTCTAGCTTGATCAACTTACAAATAGTCATAATGACCCTATAGTTGTCGCATGTACTAAAAATCACAATAAATAACCCTAAACGAGATATAAATGGGGCGAGAACCCCTCCTACCTTTAATTTTCTCTTTCTTCCTCATGAGTCATCTCCTTTTAAATATAAACATCAACCATTGATCATTCTTTCATCGATTATGGTTATCTATCCAAACTAAAAAATGTAAACCACTAACAATGGTTGACAAGTCTAACTTGTTAACATTAAGTTATGTTCTTCTACCTATTTAGCTTACTTTGTTCAATTTTAAGTTTATAATTTTGAAATATAACTATATATGTAAATAAAAGAACCTTAAACAATGATATATGTATTAATAATAAATTGTAAAGCCAAAGGGAAAATATCGACTACTTTTTAAAGGGGTAAGCTAAATTTTCAAAAAAAGTAATCTTCATATCTCCAACTAAAGCTACTTTGAATAAATTAAAGGCAAAGACCACAAAACAAATCATATATACCTAGTCTTTTTTTTTTTGGATAAATCAGAATTTATTACCCAAAATAACAATGTTATACTACAACAAATCAGCCAACAAAGAGACATAGCAACCTAAATGCAAAAGAACCAAAGCTTGGTTAGACTATACCCAAGCATTACAAAGCAATTGGTTAGTTCTATCAAGTCTATAGCTTTGCCCCTAAGTCTAATACTAACAGTTTCAATAATGCATAAGCAAAATACGATCGATCTTTGCGACCCTGGAAAATACGTTGATTTCTTTCCTGCCAGATGAAGTAGATAAAGCGTTCCAAGAAATCTTCATAAGGTGGAGATAAGAGACTTCCCTCTCCAAGTTGTGCTAGCCCCAAGATATAGTTCCCAAGTAAGAGGAGTAATAGTCATATCGTTCAGTTGTAAAATGCTTTCCAAAGTCCGATAGCAAAAGGACAGTGAGAGAAGAGGTGATCTCGCGATTCTTGATCTTGACAGCAGTTAACACATGTAGAATCAGAACATAAACCAATTTCTGCAACCTGTCTCTGGTTGGTAACCGATCAATAAGGCCATCCATGAAACAAACTGTGTTTTGGGATATGCAAAGGATACCAGATAAGTTTGTGCCAACAAACCTTCATGCGTTTTATCCGAATCTTATCCCAGACTTCCTGATCGGTGATGAGCAGCCGAGACTATAGGGAAAGCAATAGATCTCAACTTGAGATTTCGACAAAAGCTCCAGCTGACATTAGATCCAGCTGCAAAAGTCCAGAAATCGTGCTCCTTTAGGACATAGGATTTGTGCTGAAGTATCAGCTCCTTTCCAGAAAAACCTGGAACAGAGTTGATCCACAGATTTAAGAATGGAAGCAGAAGTATGAGTTGCCTGCACCAAAAGTTACAGACGCTGAACAGGATAGAGCGAATTAGCTCAAGCCTGCCAGCATAGCTAAGGTTCCTGCCAGACCAGTGCTGCAAGCGTTGCCTGATTTTACCGAGTAAAGGCTCGCAGTCTTTGGCAGTTAATTTCCTTGTAACGAGAGGAATGCCGAGGTATCTGACAGGCAACGACCCAATCTTGAAACCCAGTAAAGAGTTTAAGATCTAATGTCCTTGAAGAAATACCTGCTGCAAAGAGTTCACTTTTTGAAGAGTTAAGATTAAGCCCAGAAATTTGGTAAAAGTGATCAAGAACACTTAGGACACCAATCACCGAATCAACATTGCCTTTGCAAAAGATCAAGAGGTCGTCTGCGAAGGAAATGTGAGTTAGCCCAATCTTCTTACACTTTGGGTGGAAAGCAAAAATGCCTTTAGCAGCAGCCAAATTGAGCATATTTGAAAGGACGTTCATGGCTAAAACGAACAAATAAGGGGAGATGGGATCCCCCTGTCTGAGCCCTCTTGCTCCTTTGAAATAACCAGTTAAAGATCCATTGAAGGAGATAGAATACCTGGCTTGGGTGAAGCATATTACAATCCAATCAATGAAAATATTAGGGAATTGAAGGGCTCGAAGGATTGATAAGATGAAGCCCCAATGCAAGGAATCGAAAGCCTTATGAAGATCGATTTTCATGGAGCACCTTGGAGAAATAACTTTCCTGCCATATCCTTTGACCATTTCTTGAGCAAGGAGTGAATTATCAATAATGTTTCTTCCTCTTATAAAAGCAGTCTGATTCATGGTAATAATCTAAGGAAGGTAAGCATTCATTCTATTGACAAGAATTTTAGTGATGGCTTTGTAGATAACAGAGCAGCAAGAAATAGGCCGGAAGTCCTTGACAGCTCTGGGGTTGGGAATTTTAGGGACAAGGGCGATAATAGTGGAGTTAATACCTAGTCTTCATGTTGCTCTCATAGCCAAGATTTAACCCATCAAACAAAGCATCTCCACGCTGCCCCCATTCTAATTTTATATTAATTCACGGTAATTTTAAACCACAATAAATATATGATATAATCTCTATTAGGCTGGTAGCAGTAAAAGTAAAACTCTTGCAAGAGGCACATTATTTTAGTCCGTGTTAGGTTGGTAGCATCCGACGTACCTTTTATCATAAAGAGACGAACAAATTACCCGAAACTCGAGGTTAATTAAACATTAGATTATTATCATCTATAGTATTAATAAACTTCATATTGATAAGTGATGAACAGATAGGATTCCCAGGAAATATAACCTTGATGGGACCCAGTTAGCAGGTGAAGGTTTGAACTTTGAATCTCGTTCTCTATGTTCCAATTGCAAATATCCAAACCGACAAGATGTTGGTATGCAAGGAAACTTCATATTATTGTTTTTACTATATATACACAGACGAATTGTGATGATTGGAGCTCAAGGGGAAGGAGTGGGTGGGTTGGGGCATATTGATTTGATTGTATCATCTCTCTCTCTCTCTCTCTCTCTCTCTCTGCACTAATCTTCTACCTTTTTTTAATCACATTGAAACGGTTGAAGGAAATCCAAACATTGGTGCTTCTGGGAATCAACTACTCATCATCTCTATCTGCCAAGTAATAAAAATTATGTTTGCTGGAAAACACTAGAAAATAATAAAGAGAAGAAACAAAAAAAAATGCTGTTTTTTTGTATAATCACTATATATATTTTATCAATTTATTATTAAATTAATTTAAATTAGATCATATAAATTATGACAATCTCAATTCATTATACAGTAACATTCATAATCTAATTTACTTTATTCACACATTAAAATTTAAACCCTAAATATCCATAAAGATCTTTCTCATGCTTGGAATCTAGGAGAAAGGCAAATCATAGTGGAAGAGGATAGTTTGGAGGTTGTCCGAATACTAAAGGATAACTCTAAGAGAGACGCGATCTTTACCCTTACTGACCGTGTTATTGAGTCGATTAACCGAGATTGGAATATTATTTTGAGGCATATAAGTCGGACTGCAAATAAGGTGGCAGATCAACTAGCTAAGATTGTCGCAAGAAGAAGAGAGGTTCAGAAGGTTTTCTTCATTCCACCAAGGAAAGTGGTTGAATTAATCTAACAGGAAGCTGCCGACTGCACTTTGACAACAGAAGCTTAATCCACTATAAGTTTTCTTTTGTTCACCAAAAAAAAAATTAAATCCTAAAAATATTTTAAAAAACTTAACATTCTATCTTGTCGCATAATCAAATTATGAGTTTATTGACTTTTTATGATATATGCTAGAATGTAAAGACATGGGAATGCATTTCAATTTTTTTGACGTAAAATATTTTTTTCATAAAAGTTATCAATGATGTTATTGTGCATGTTTTTTCAAAAATAATTTTTTTTCAGTTGTGAGTCTTAAATAAACAAGCACAACAAAATTTTGAATTTTTTAACGAATATAAATAAACTTAAAAGTAAACTAACTTGAATACAAATTTATTGATTTAAACTCAGTTATTTAAAGTCATATGATTCAAGAAGTAAAGACATACATTAAGGTGGGGTTTATTTTTACAGAGATAAAAAGTCTGCAGTCTGCGGACCACATCTGCAGGCATCTGCAGCAGAAGAGGTGGATCAAAAGTCTGCAGTCTGCAAGAAGAAGACTGTTTATTTTTTAACGTCTGTAGACTGCTAAAATAAACTGAAATATAAATAAACTGATTTTTTAAACTTAAAAGAGTTTTGCAATACTTAGATTAAAATAATTTCAGTTTTACAATACTGAAATTTAAATAATTCATACAACTACAATAATAATTTTTTTAGAAAAACAAACACCACCTTATTAATTTTATTATAAGTCTCACATAATTAAATGTATTATTAGTTTTATAGAATAAAATTTATAAATGATCATTAAATTATATGATTTTTTTAAATATGCAATTATGTAATACTTTTAATTTTTTAAATATATATTCATAATTTATTTTTATAATTATATGATATTTTTTAGAAAATATTTTTTAATTTATCAAATTATTTTATGATTATTTTTTATTTAATTTTATTTATTTTAAAATTTAAAAACATTTATAATTTTTATATTTAAAATCTTAATTATCAAACAATGAAATCATTTTTATTAAGCAATGTGGTTTAAATACTTACATTTGTATAAAAAATTTAAATATAATTTAAAAATAACAAATCCAAAAATATTATTTAAACTTAAATCAAATAATTAAAATAATATAAAATTTTAATAATATATAAATAATTTATATGATATAAAATTAAATATCTATAATATAATATTAAAAAAATAATATTTAATTTATTTAAAAGTTTAATTCGATTAAGGGTATTTCGGTTCGGTTCGATTCGGTTTTAACCGAATGAACACCCCTAGCCATGAAGCACAATTTGCCATTGCCTCAGATTTTGACCCAGAAAAGTTGTGCACAGGAGGCAGTGGGAACTAAACTTTGCCCCTACACCTTAGATTTGCTGTATTTTATTTATTTAAGTGTGGAAAGTATGTGGTTTGATTGTCAACCTCTCTATGTCCAATTACAAGGGAATAATGATCTCACAAGGAAAGCTCCAGGGCTTTCACTCTGTCGCAGCCGTCTTTCGGTTGGGCTCCGGAATTGGGCTTCGACTTGGATTAATTGGGTTAGAATTGCCACCGACCATTTTAAACGGATTTAGGTAGGTCAGACACCATCTTACCTGATCTGCGTTGTACCAGAAACGTGTCGGGTTCGGGAGTCGGTTACGGTCAAGGAATGATTAGTACCATTGAACCGTCCTTTCGGTACCAATTAATTTTCTGGTTGTCTTAATTACGGAAATTAAAATTTAAAATCCGATTCAAATTACCTATCTTTAATTGATTGAGAGTTTCTAAAAAAATAAAAATGTTAGATAAAAAATAATAAATAAATATTAAACAAATCAAATGGAATAAAGGAGAAAAATAATAATAATAACAGAAATGAAAGTAAATCAAAATGAAAAGAAATGAAAAAAAATAATAAAATAAAATATCCTATAAAATGTGCACAAACGCACAAAGCAATGATGGCCTAGCACGTAAATTCAAATAGCTGGGAATATAGCCATACGTTTGACAGTTAGGAGTGTAATAGAAGCTATCTCGGATTGATTTAAAGGATTGAATCAAAAAATCTAAATTTGCAGAAGAAAAATTAATTATTCAAAATGTAAATATTCAAATTTTCTTTCTTGGTTGGAACATATATCAAGGGAATAAAAGTAGGAAGGGACAAGACCAACCGACAAATGCACATGTAGACCCAGGGATGAAAATGAAACGAACGATGGAATGATGAACAGAATCGAGATGAAAACAAAGTTGCAGGGACTCGAGTAAAATTTTCCAAGTAAAGACCATGAGCTGTAGGAGGACTAACATGAAATTGAAGAAGAAATACATGTCTAAATCAGAAAGAAAAACAATATGAGAATAGGATCAACATGAAATGATGGAAAAACACAGGGGACCAAGATGTTGATTTTCCCTTGGTCATTTAAAAACACGAAAGCCTTGATGGGTATTTTAATGAAACTATAAAACTTAAATTATAACAATATAATTCACTCCATTTTCATAAGAAAACTTGGACTTAAACCTTTGTTTTCAAAATTCTCTCTGAACATCACTTGGTGTTCTTCGTGTTCATCTAAATTTCCAGAAATCGCCCGTCACTTGCCACCAACCACCGCAAGTTAGCTCCGTCCGCCGTTCGTCGGCGACTAAAAAGGTAACCAAACACTTTTCGATTCCTTTTTCTCCACTGAGTGCAAATATAAACTTAGTTCTTGTAAAAGAAGTCTCAAAACAGTAGATCTGAAAAATAAATAAAATTCATCGGGAAAAAAAAAATTCGGGGGCGATACAAAGATCTGAGGGAGGTTTCTTTCGAAAGAAAGCCTCGGTTTTTTAAGGGTTTCTCTCTTTTCTTTTACAAAATCCTCACACTTTTTCTCTAGCTTTTTCTGATTCTTCTATATTTTTCGCGTATCGATTTTTGATTTCGCTCCTCTTGATCTTTGAATGGTGCTCTATGGTTTTTTCTGGTATTTTCGTCTGATCCTCTCCCCTCTCTCTGTTGATTACATGTATTTATACTAGAAAAATGACAACTTTGAGTCCTAATCAAACTATCGTTCTTGTTTGTTTCCGGATATCTCGGGACCGAGAGTCGTGCAGTCGTGGGAGGCGCGAGGATGATGTTTGACCGGGCAGCTGGGATGCGTGAGGCGTAAGGGCTTCTCGAACAAAGTCGTGCGGCGCTAGGGTGAAGCTCTTGGCTAGGGTTTGAGACAACCCTAAATATCTCCATTATGGACGTTGGATCTCGTCTAGATCCAACGGCCACTTTGCTGGTGGTTGGAGGCAAGAGTGGGGTTAGGGTTTCTGGAAACCCTGATCTTATACGGGTTTGGGCTACACATGATGTTGGGCAGCTTGGTTGTTTGTACTTGGGCCAACCACTGTTTGGGTTTTGACTTGTTGGCATTTGGCTTTTGGACCTGTAAAACCAATGGGAACAATAATAATAGATATATTTATATAATATGACCTATGTAAAATATAATGTAACGACATTAAAAGACATATTATATAATGCAACAACATTAAAGGATAAAATTTGGTGTCTTCAGCTGCCCTCTTTCCCTTTATCGTGTAACGAAAATAGGGCAAAGATTAAAAGACACAAATTTTGGCCATATCGAACCCTCTGTCGTA